TCGATCGATCAGCTCTGAAAGAGCTATGCAATGTTTTCGAAACATCGTGAAAACTCTGACTTTTATACATACTTTCTGCTCAAGGTTACAAACATAAAAGACACGTTGGTTCAGTCCTCCACCTGCATTTAAAACATATAAAGCTAAAGCTCAAGAAGCTAAGAGACCCCAACACGCGTCCAGCATTGGACATACGATATGCAACATGGTCGAAAGAGCAATGGCACAAAGAATTCCATGATTTGACACATCATTACCATAAATACTCATCAGATGCCAATCATCCTCTCCGAGGGTATAATGTCTGTATTCACCCCGTCCTGCTTGGCAGTATTGGACTTGAATATTACCATGATTGCCAGGGAGTGTGACTGTCTCCTATCAGGACACAGAAAGACGAATTCTGGCAGGTGTGATCTTTACCAATGCAAGGCAGGGGTACCGATGACACTCTCAGAAAAGCCAAATCGTCAAAGAGACGATGATAGGGATGAAGACAATCGCGGATATGATCGGGGTTCATCTCGCAGCTCACGACGTTGATAAAATCTCACAAAGTGACTAGAATCACAACAATAATAAAAACCTAATGGCAAGTGTCTCACGTAAGACAATGAACTTGAAAGTAGTGATAAATCGTTGATCCAAATGGTTTTATTTCATCACAGTACTTACAATCCAACAATTCCAAAAACATAGAGCGAGTGAGTGCTCACAGTTCATCTCATCACCACCACTCACTCAGAGAAACGAGCATCTCTTTTTCTTTTACTGGGTCATGAAGATTGCTGCTTCCGTCAACGTCTTGCCTTGTGAATGAGCATCACCTTATAGAAACTGCATAAAGTTCATTCCAGTAGCATAATGCCGGTGGAATTTGCGCCTCCACTCTTATAGGCAAGGTTTATGTGGTAAATCCAAAAAAAGGTTCCGACATTTTAGTATTTTTGCTTTATCTCTGGAATCCAACATCTCCACAAATCGAGTTAAAACACAAAAATATCAAAATGTTGCTTTGCCGCAACTAAACTGGAATTGTGTCACATATTGACCACAAATATGGCAAGTAATGGTGGATTTGATGAAATCAATCTTCACTTGCCTGTCCTGGATGTTAGTCTATCCACAGCTACGCTCTTTTTCAATAGTTGGTGGAGAGCTCAGGAATCAGGTATTCCTCGTGTTCGCGTGTCTAACGCGTAGAGAAACATCAGATATGCAGACATGATGAATAGCAATATAGATTGTACCCGTCGAAACGCGTCTTTGTTGGGTTTGGTTGTTGGTTGCTGCTGTTCAGGAAGACCATCTTCTGACGGTACTTCAAGTGTCGCACACTTTCGATTCACGACAGACTCCTCATATATATCAACTTGTACTATCATACCACTGACCAGTAGTACACGCTCTATACAACAACTCATTTCATCAAACACGCAACAGTATAAATATTCAGACAGTAAAGAGATCTTGTAATATCGAAAGGAACAATTTACAATGACTCCAACAAATTGAATATGTTAAATCAAAGCTAGAGCCAAAAGTTTAATGTGGTGACGAATCGCTAGCCCTCGGCGTCCTTCCAGCCTCCAAATACACAGCTGCACTCTCCTGATGCAACGAAGAATTACCCGTCATAATAGGCGCAGGCATAGTGTTGCCAGGCGAGCCTGCAACAATCCGTATAGTCACATTCGCTGATACACCGATTGTGAAATTGGCTGGTAGTGATGGTGGTGTTACATATCCAGCCTTCAGTAACGGTGCGAGTTCACCATCGCAAGATGGTGTGGTGTTGAAGTTTTCACTTTGTGGGAACGTGGATGAGTTTTGAGATATCAGTCAAGTTAGGTCTACTTTGTTTGGGTTTTGGGCTTCGGATTGTGGCAGATGTTTGGTTTGATTCATTGCGGGCATCAATGTTGTGCATGAGGTTGTCTAGTGCTGCGTCGAGTTTCATTTCGTTGGTTTCTTGTGTGTGGCTGGGATCGTAGAAGCTTGGTGGTGGCATTGAATTGGTTGGGTAGACGCCTAAGATGGTTGTGGAAACGCGTTTAGAAATCAGGCATTAGTATTGGTTTCGCTGAAGATGAATTCTTTTCTACATCAGGATTTAAAATACACACCATTACTATTCACGTACTCTCCATTCTCATCAATAACTTGCATCACCACCCCATTTGCCGCGAAATTTGAAGTATTGTAAGCTCGTTGCGAGAAATGCAGAGTGTGATTCCATAGCAGGATCAGTCTCGTTAGCTTACATAGCAGCATTATAAGCAACCCGATCGTGGCCACTCATAGTCCGACTTCCGGTAGCGACCAGCACGGACAGTGGTTCAGCCTCATCAATAAGGACTGGCGAAACATCCATTGACTCTACCTTATTGGATGAATTCGACGATGATCTGTCTTTTAGTAACCTTCTTCCCTCGAAATGAAAGGCTGCCAGCTCCAGGGGAGATTGGCGACATCTCGGCGGTGTGGCATACTTCTTGTCGATGATGGTCGCGACCACTGTTGCGTTTGCCCTTGGTTTTGACGGCGAGTTGAGGTGCTGGTTCTTCGTCATCATCTTTTTTTAATCGGTTGTGGATTTCTTCCCTCTCCTCTTGTAGCGACATTCGTTGGCGGCTTCACGATCAGTCCTGTGGGCGAGATGGTTTGCAGCTACAGCTACGACGAAAACTGCGAGAAATGCAGTACCACAATAGGCGAGAGAGGACTAGGAAGGCTCCCAAAAAGACAATACATACACTATCGAAGAGGAGAGTCAGGCACAAACGAGCGAAAGAAGTAACATGGCTGCAGTAAATGACGTGGGTATGACTTACGTTCAATGCTAAGGTATGATTAGGAAGGAGAGCACAGCAATTCAGTCAAGACTTGTAGTTGAATTAGATCAGTAGCAGTCAAGATATTGGATTCCAAAGTAGTGATAACAGTAGTCAACTAGAAATTACAAAATGTCCCATACCATACATGGATACTGACAATTAATAATGGTTTCCTCAACTTACCAAAGTAGGCCCATTAGACAAATAGCTTCAAGACAGTATCCAACTGGGTATTCAAAGTCAATAAAATAGCAAAATCACCTGCAACGTAGGAATAAATCGTTGTAATCCATCCAGCAAAATCACAGCTTCAGCCATTTTGTCATTCATGGTCGCAATGTTGGACTGGTAGCATTGTAATTCAACATATTGGTATACACTGGATTCCCCGAAGTAATCCAGCAAATCACAGCGCCAATGTTCGCAACAGCGGGATTCGTCCATACGAAATAGACTTCGCGAGAAGCATCGGCGCCGGTTGTGGCTACAGTGTTCAAAGCTGTTAGGGAAATCATGAGGGTTTGCCATCCAGTTCGAGAAGTGGTGGAAGATTCCATGAGGAAGTGTTGAAAGATGTGATGTTTGTTAGGAGGTGTTGACTGGTGCGACTTGGGATGGCAAGTTGCTTGAATTCAATGACAATGTTGACCTAAAAGATCGAAAACGACATCAGAGTTACTAAAATTCGACTTCTGTTCGTTTTTCCTATCAATTCAAATTCAATGACTTACTTGAGATTGACAGAGTTTACCTAAAATTCAAATTCAATCCATTCAAAAATTCTGAGCCTGGCTGTGATGACTGGAAGTTGTGCTGTTGATTCCTTAGCGGGCAGGTATAACATTCGATGCAAGTGCCACGTCAATCAAGTTTGAACCTTGAAAACACATGGCTTGAGCTTGGACCCCATATCCAATGTATTGATAGGTTGAGGTCCCAGAGGAGCAGTTCAGCGATGCTTATGTTTTGGGCGAATTCGTAGAAACAGACTAGAGAAAAAAAAGTCAGACGGTGTTGTCACCACATGTGAAGCAATAATAGCGAGCATTGTGGTTTACCTTCACCCATCGCTTAAGCAAAGATAAGTGCAAGAGAGCCAAGAGGTATAAAATCACAATGAAGGGAACGGCGAGTGAAATGCAGCTAGAGGGCAAGCAATCCTAGCATTTGACTTTTTGAGGATGACAATTCATCGCAAGCTCACCATTTAGTTCCCCTGGGTTTCTTGGCAACGATGCACAAAAGAAGGAACAAAAAACCAAAGGATACAGAGAATGAAGATAGCAACGTACCGTAATTTCTGAAAAACATAATGGTTAAAAAGCGGTACAGAGCCAATCAACTATCTTCACATACCTGTACGAGTCATACTGCAGAGCCAAAATCGAATATCAATTGTAGATATCATCTGTAGTGTATGACGCAATTTGGCTAATAACTTGATCCGAAATCGGTCCAAAAGTACTATCGACAGTGGTTTGTCCGGGACTCAGCAACGTGGCAACCTGATTCCTGATTGGTCCAGTCGACTGAGAAATAGTAGTAGAAGCAGTCGTAGTCAACGAATTAAACAAACTCGTAATACGCTGAGCCATGGTAACAAAATTTGGCAAAGATGTTGGCAGGTGCAACCATATTGTTCAAATCAGACGGTGTTTGTAAAACACGAGCGAAATTACCACCGACTTGAGTTACGTCCATGGTTGGTAGTGCTGTTCGAGTTGGAAGATGCTACCGGCATGATTTTGGGATCCGGAGAGGGTTTGGAGTTGGGAGCGGAAGCAGTTTAGGGCAAGGTTTCCATAGTCCCAGCCGACGTCGAGGAGTATGAGATCAATTGAGCCTTGCATGGGGAGGAGTGTGGCTGCAAGGCTTGCGACTATGATTGTTTGAATGCTTAGTCAGGCGGGAAAAAGGGAAGCTAGTCATGCAATAATTCAAACAGAATCCAGGGTTTTGACTCTCACATACCTATAGGCGAGGCATTGGCACTCAAGGTATCCAAAACTTGTGGAGTGACGACTCCGTTGATAGAAGCTTAAACTAGGACAGATTAATGTCGTTCATGCACTCAGTATAAATCTCCAACACGTACAATTGACAGTCGTAGAAACAGTGCCCAAAAATGCTGTTAGCACCGGGTATAAGACTTGAAATCTTCAACTAAACCTCAGCTACATCAGTGTTTGTGACACTAAATATCGATTGGATGCCAGTTGACATCAAAGCAGATCCTCTCCAGCCACCTAGGATGGCGACATCTCTACAAGCTACGAGCAGTATGAGGAATATGATGGCTACGAGGTGGTCTGAGGTGGTGTATGGTTTTCTTCGGCGGTGTAGTTCGCTACGACAGCAACAGCATGGGCAGCAGTCCACACAACCGGTTTCGACGAGGAGAATTAGGATGAGAACCGGATCGGTGAAGATATTGAGATTGGAACTGGTTGGAGCCGAAAGAGAGTCATACCATAAACCAAAGACGATATCGGCAAATATATCTGTGTATTTCTCTTTACAAGGGCTACCATCAAACTCACTAACGATAACGTCGAAGAGATAGTGTGTTCCTTCGGAGCCAAGAGGCCCATCTTCCACCTCCTCTTGTTTTGTTGTGGCCATGGCCCTTGCCAACACCACGATTCTTTTTGCCAATAGCGGTCAAACCACGAGATTCTCTGTGTTTGTGTACTGGCTTGACAATCCAGTTGATGCGAGGATCGCGTCTGATGGCCATATGTTGAGGGTCTACCAAGATGACTTCAAAGTATTTATATGTGGAGTCCTAAATTCACAAGAAAAAATTCGTGTAAGCTGATTCGAATCACTGATTATTGAGTTTCAGTATATCTGACACCAGCATAATACGGGTGCACTTCTCCAACAGCATAATACGGGTGCACTTCTCCAAGCTTTTCTTCCAAACGTTCAGGTCATTTCAGGTTTGTGTCCAACACCAATGTTATTCGAACCTCCCATCAATAAGAATACGCAATCATCTTTAGCAACAATCTTCCTCTGCCTTCCTCAAACAAAGTAGCGGCAGCTACAACTGGCACTTGCCTGGTTGATCCAGTAAGAGTTGAGGACACGCAAGTTGGGGCATTTGCGACCAACACGCTCTTCAGCAGTGGTCTTCAAACTTCGTTGGTATTTGAGTTGGTTGATACCTTGACCCTTTGGTTTACCATAGACTTGACCTTTGGGTACAGGCCTCTTTCGACCACCACGACGAACTCGAATGCGGTAGATGACATATCCTTGCTTTGCCTTGTAACCCAATCGACGTGCCTTGTCTGGACGAGATGGGCGAGAGGCTCGGTGGATGACGTTCAATTGTCTGATTTTGTTTGAAGAGAGATGTTGGTATTCATGAATGATTTTTGTTTGTAAGATGGTAGAAAAAGGCAGTTGCAAGTTACCTGTATTCCCAACAACGGATACGTAATAAGAAACGGATGACATCCGATTGCTTCTTTTTGTACAGCTCTTCCAAATACTTGTAGGCTAAATGTGCAGAAAGTCTTAGCTTTGAATGTTTTTGTTCAAGTTTGATGTTTGAGCAATGACTTACCACCCATGACTAGAAATGATACCAAATAGTGTAGAAGATTGTTAGATTTGGGATATATGACTTTGTTGTATTCAACTTTCGACAACTTGTTCCACTGTCAATGAGTTGCAAGTTCAACACCAAATGTTTCGACCATCCAGCTTTTTGATGGGGGTCAACACAGACGTGGACCAAGAGACCAATATTCATCGTACGCAACTGTTCCAATATACAAATCCACTTCTTTACATACCTTTGAATGCCTATTTGCGATGGATGCGTTGGGATGGGTTATTTACGATACTCACGTAAGCCCTCCGTAAGCAATACTGGCAAACATGAAACGTGAAACTTGAACGAATATGGATGGCACACGGTGGAAGGAATATTGGCTACTGTTCTCCGTCGTGGCAGGTGCTCTCGGAGCATCATATGCTCTTAGCCGTGTAAATATGCAAAAATCATCCAAAAAACCACTATCTGACTGCCTGGTCGAGTCGTTTGAAACTGGATCAAGTGTATCTCTTCCCAGCTTATGGGAATCAGTCGCCTTGAACCCATCTCGTACTAGAACTCTAATAGTCTTCCTTCGGAACTTTGCCTGGTAAATTTGCAATTGCGTCCACGAGGTACCATCAAACGTGCATTTGCCACCGTTGACCAACCCTCCTTGTCAAATAGATTGGCGTGTGTCATTCAGGTCGAGGCTCTGCGTCCCTTAGCAGAGCTCATATCAAAGTTACCTGAAGCCCATCGACCTCGAATTGTGTTTATAGTGTCATGTGGTAGAGAACAGACGGAGGGATTCATCAAAACGCACCCATTATATACTATAACGTCCTCTGCTAAGGATGTTATACCTGGAGAACTGTACCTGGACCCTCAGTCGCAATCTCATGTATCAATTGGACTACAAGCAGGGATTTGGAGGAGTATCGTTACGTCGATATGGACATTAGCACCTCATTATGGAATCGGAGCTTTGACAGAAGGTGCTAGGCTTGGTGCAGAGAATAATCACCTAGTGGGTGACTCTTGGATTATGGGTGGGAGCTTTGTCGCTGATCGATCGGAAGGAATAGTGTTTGTGGTAAGGGACATTTGGTATGCCAGTAACGCCATGGCAATTCATTTCGTTATTCGATATAGCACAAAGAGGAATTCCCCGGTGATTGGGCCGAAATGGGAGCTCTTTTGCCAGCACTCAACATTCCAGACAATGATATGCAATTCGATCACCAAAAGGCGTTCAAACGATGGATGAATCTACGACAGCGTGCTAGGGATGTCAAATGTGAAGACGGGAAGTGTTTGTAGATAGATTAGATAGTGGGGGGAGGGTTGCTCGAGGTTGCTGATCAGGATAGTCATGAAACTCTAAATGAGACATACGTATTATACGTTACGTTAAGAGCTGATGTTAATCCATATATGCCATGAAGGGATGGTTTGGTGGACATTTTGGTGGTCAGAATTTAGACAGTAAACCCCGGTTTTGAATAAATTAGTTTTATTCCAACATGCAAGTCTCTATAAAAGTTTAGATTTGTATACAGACACTTCGACTGTGTGCTCATTTCACTGCAGCAGCAAGATTAGACCGACGACGCTTTAGTGTTTGTCTCGTCTTTCTTCGCTTCAGAAGCCTCATACTTTTGCTTTGATTCGATTTCACGCTTCCAACGTTTCAGCCTCCATTCTTCTCCCTTGCCATGGTAAACCAAAGAAATCAAAAGATACGTCAACAAGACAAGAGCTCCGAAGACGGTCATCGTCCAACCATTTCCGAAGGACGCAATAGCTGGGAGGATTATAGCTGTTGCTATTGCCCCTGCGATGCAACGACAAAGATTGTTGGCAGCCATAGCCGAAGCAGCTCTATATTTGTTGCGTAGCGTAAGTCTATGATGTCTTGTTTGAATGTCATAGAAAAATCACCTTCCAGGATGTATGTCAACAAGGAGCGTGTTATAACTGTTAAAGCTAGCTGACGTTCCCAAACCAACTGATTTACATACAGATTAGTTTCACATTCTTAAAATGAAACCAAGATATTGACTTACTGAGGAATTGTACCGCTAGCACGGCAGGCAATGGCACTTTGAATTGTAAGAGCCACCCGTAGATGATGACTGAAACGCTAAAGAGAGTCATTGGAAACAAAGCTGTTCGTAGTCGAGCTCGTTCAATTGGGAATGGTCTCTTTGGATCAGCTGTTTCTTTAGTTTTACGGACACTGGGATTTGACAGAATGCAGTGAGTTATTATGCACTCATGGGAGTAGCGACTGTGTAAGAAGCCGCAACTAGGATCGACGAATGGGCCCAGACATCATTCGAGCTCGCAAATATGGTGATCAACTCACCTGTAATCTAGTAATTGCCCGTTCAAGCCTGATCCGAGCATGTTTCCTATCCGAGAGTCATTAAGAGAGAATCGCTCAGTGTCGCGACGGATGTGGCTTCATGCACGAACTGCGACGTACCACATCCTGTCGCCATATACGTTAAACCACTTTGAAACGGTGTCAATCCGTATATAGCATCATAGTTTTCACTCATGGGAGTAATGACTGCGTAGTAAGCAGCAAATAGCATTGACGAATGCACCAAGATACATGCGACCTAAGAATAAAGTTGCTTAGTCCGAAGCTTTCTCTTTCTTTGAAATGTCCATGCGTCATGCCTCAGGATCCAACACAAGAATCGCGGGGGCGAGTGGATTTACAGGTCTCTTCTTTCTTGAGTCTGGCACAAAGAGGTTTTCTTGACTGGCTCCCCGTTCGTATATCTTGTCCATGAGAACGTCAATCAACGGGTATCCAACGCCTTGTCGTCCATTTCCAACTAGAGTTCGAAGAGTCTCGGGCAGAAATAGTAGCAGGAATATCATCAAGAAAAAAGCCAAGATTGCCAGAAAGATAAAGATTGAATGCCAGCCAAAGTACTGGGTTAGAATACCACCTATCGTCTTTTCAATAGATTCGTCAAGACAAAAGTGGATTATTGGTTGCCGTGCTGAGTGGTGTCGCTTACGGGGCCTAAAACAGGTGCTAGCAACGCTCCCATGGTAAAGAGGGATATCCGACTACCACGGTTTTTCGTTGTGCTGATGTCTCCAATCGTACCAGCTAATTAAGAGAGGGGTCAAGCGACTTTCTCAGATGAAACGTAGCAAACTATTGACTTACCTCCAACAGCAATCGTTGCTGCGCTCCTGCATAACGTTATTTCGTTTTTGTGAGCGACGATACAATGTGTCAACTGTAGCATCGAACCCGCAGGTAGTAGACAATGACTCACCCGCACGCTTGTACAATTCGCAGAAATAATAACAGCCCAAAGGATTTGGTGAATGACAGGCCTATACATGCGACAATGTAGGTACTCATGGTACCAAAGTAGATCAATCTTCTCCCGTACACGTCTGAATACGCTCCCCAGAAGGAAGGTGCGATTGCCTACCAGCGAGGGCGTCATTAATAGATGTTCAAAGAGATTTATGGCGATTGCAGTACCTGAAAAACCAAAAATACAGACACCGTCAGATTAACAGTGGAAGGCGTGACACCCAGATCCGATGCAATAACCTACGAGCAAGAGGACAGTGTCAGCGTGTCAGTAATTTGACATTGTTCGAAAGCATTCCTGCTGAAAAACTTGGCAAGCTTCTTACATTCAGAGATGGAAAATAGATGTTTGAGGTAAGAGGACTAATGAAACCCGCAACCGCAGTAATGGCAACAACAAGGCTCTCTCTTCCGCCTAGCCACGGAGCCTCCTTATATAGTTTTGTCAAAGAAATAACTGATGCCTATGTTACAAAACTCGTGGATCAGTCAAAAACAGAGAAATAACCAAACGTGACTACAAGCATACACGTCGATTCATATTAGATTCCGGTATAGGCAAAGCGATCTGATCATCATTTCCAACATCCGGTTTGTCTCCATCGTGTATCTCAATTGTTGCATCAGCAATGTCCTGCTCATCAATGATCGGAATGTCATTGGAAGCTGGGAATGGCGGTGGAACAGCTACGATCCCTTCCGCGATTGCTCCTTGCTCACCGACAGACTTCCGTCGTGAGAGAGAGTGGAAGCTTTTTAGCGATGCTAATTCTGCATCTTGATGCTCTTGAGACATGGTTTCTTGGGCTGGAAGTATTCCGAAACGATGAATAATAGCTATCTATAGATACTTCTCCTTCTTTAATCGGCGACCGATACACATCAAACGTTGAATTTTATGGTTTTAAAATTGACAATTTTTACATCGATGTGTTGGACCCCGTGACGCGCATGTATCAGCATCATGCAGTTTGGCATGAGTCGTCGCGATTAGTATGAATTGCGGATGCAGTCACTTATGAGATTTTCAATCCACAAGTTGTCGCGTCTCAAGCGCAGAACCACTATAATGGTTCTCGTACAAGTTCACAATGAAGTTAGATATTAGGGTATTTATTGGTGGAAATAATACTATAGAGGCAGCAACTGCAAAAGTCCTTCAACCGTCCCAACAGCCAAAAAGTTTAAATCTTTAGCAAATGCAACACACAAAACACCACCATTCAATACCCTCAACTTCCGGACTTGTTCTCCTGTATGCGTTTTGAATACAGTCACAGTAGCATCTTGCGATCCAGCAGCAAAGTATTCACCACCAGGAGCAAAAGCCAGAGAGGAGCACCACGAAGGCATTAGTGAGATGTTTAATATCTGCTGTCCAGTAATATAGTCGTGAAGTCGAAGTGTTCCGTCCTTGGCACACGAGAGTAGCAGAGATGGACGAGATAAGGCAATATCCAGTATTGGTTCAGAGTGGGCTTCGATTGTTCTAACAGGTTGAATTCCCTTGTCTTTATTGTGGATTACAGCCTTGGTATCCCATACGTGCATCCGTTTGTCTAGTCCGCCACTGACAAAGTACTTGCCGTCCGGTGAGAAGCGGACAACCTTTACCCATCTAGTATGTCGGCGCACGGTAGCGAGGCATTCTCCAGAGTTCAAATCCCATAGCTTTACAGTCATATCTGTGGATGCTGTCAATATGTATCTTGAATCCAGCGACACATCGGCACAAGTGAGTGCATCCGTGTGGCCTAGTAGTACCCGATCACATCCAGCTGTACTTGAATTCCAAATCCTGATTGTTTTATCAAATGAGCAAGACACTATAGTGCTCTCATCCTTGGCAAAGCGCGCTGATGTGACTATGGTTGAGTGACCTGCATATTGGGATAGCTCTTTGCCAGCTTCTAAATCATGGATTTTTACCATTCCGTCATACCCGCTCGTCAACCATAGATTGGGTCCTAGACGAGAGCATTGTGCAGATTTACATCCTTCAGTATGTGCACGTACAGCACATGGGAACAAGTGTACGTCCACGGCACTCAATAAATTATGCAGGAGTGCGAATTTACGATCGAATTTTCGTTCTTGTGGGGGTCTGGCTTTCGCCTTTTTAGGTGCTGTTGTTGGTATGGCGGTACCTTCTGCTTCAATATTTGCGGCATCTTCTTGCTCTTGCTCTTGGAGAACCTCATACTCGTCCATTCGTGCATCATACAAGGCCTTCAATCGGTATTCTAATTGACTTAAATCTTTGACATCGTCCGAGTCAACAATACCAGGTGGAAATTCTCGAATCAGTAAGTCCAGCAAGGCTTTAAGCAACGTTGCCACAAACTCGTTGGCAATTTCATGGGCACTGACTACGTGTCTGCTAAATGTTTCTATATCGTTAACGGCTTCTGACAATCCTAGAATAACTACAACGGCGCTAGCACAAGTCAAGGTCATGTCTACAGCACGGTCAAGTTCCGATAGAAGACGATCAACATGGCGCCTTGATGTAGCCGTATTCTCGTCTAATCGAGTCTTTGATGTACCAGAAAAGTGCAAATGGCCAAACAAGCTGGAGTTAGTGCTCACTACTGGTTCTCCAGTTAAGAAGTTTATCTCAGCCTTCAGCTCAGCGGGTGTCGATGCTCCAGATTGTAATGACGTTTCCGACGTAGCTGGTATAGCAGTCATGTGGTTTTCTTGAATAGTATTACGATCGGATGATTTACGATGATCTAGATTTCCTAATGATTGTCTTCGAATCTCCTTGAATACATCGCTTTGAGATTGTTGATGAGCTGCCGCACTCGTTCTTTGGTTACTACTGGCATCTCCTGAGGGTATAGAGGGAAGCCTGGCGTTTCTGGTTGACGCTCGTTGGAAGGAGGCTCGGTTATTGTTTGGTACTGCGGAATTCCGGGCATTGTTGTTGCTCATCATGGATGCTCGAGTGCTGCCACCAGCTGCAGACGGCCTTTGACTATTGGCCACCATAAATGACGATGATTGTCTAGATGCCCGATGACTGCCTTGAGAAGCTAGCATAGATCCTGTGCGAGAAAATCCAACCATGCCAGATGGAGGCACATATTCTCCGTCTTCTTCTGCTTCTTCGTCCTCTTCCAGTACCATATCGTCAGCAGTTGTTTCTGGACCTAGTTCTTCATCTTCTTTAACTGCTCGTACAGTAACTCCTTTTTCTCGTTGCAGCAATAGCGTTGCTTGGTGCACTACATCTAAACTATCGGTACTATCATCTGCACTCCGTTCTTCACTATTTGCTTGCTGTAAACTGGTCCCATCTCCGTTCTGTGCCCATATCCGTTCAGATTCAGCTGCGTCATATGCTTCATCGGTTTTACCAAACAAGTCGTCAAAGTCAGCTGGGGCTCCAATTTTCGGTAGAGCTCTTTCAATATCCAAATATAGTGCTCTCAGCGATCGCCTGGATAACGTCAAGAGCGTCAGAAAAGTCATTACAATCTTTTCTGCTTCAATCCTCTCCTGTCCAGTCTCAGTTATACGTATCGCCCGAGCAGTTCTCTGTTGATCACCTCCATCGGCATTGATCTCCCAGCCCCAAATCCAATCGTGTAGTTGATCTAGTGCTGATCGATAATCGACATGTCCACTCCCGCGTGCTTTTGAGTGTTGATGCCCGTTTGCTGGATTCCCGTGAAGACCACCTCCATAATGCTTTATAGACGAGGTCAATGGTTTTGAGGTAGTTGGATCGAATGTCTTGAACAGATGCGATAGGAATGGAGTTGGGTTTGTCTTGTGCAGTTGGTGCAGGTCGTAGAGGGATTTTAGAGCTTCCATACCTGCAACGGTGAAACTGTTGGTATTGAACATTAAAATTACAGTGAACTTTGAAGATTTTTACGTACGTATCTACTACTATGAGGTCAAATCGAAATAAAGAACGCCTTCGCAAAAGTCCTTGTAAACTCCTTACTGCTGGCAGTCTGAGGGAACTGGTAAAAGCAGCGAAGAGGACATGGAAAGATATAGGAAGGCTAACTTGTCGCGTAGAATTTCATTGTGGCGTGCGGATGGCACAGACACGTATTCCTTCTATTGATCCTTCTATTGATACTGTGTCCGTGTTTCCCGGGTGCATGTAGACATTGACATAGAAGCGAAGAAATAAACACGTCATTCTCAACTGGAAATTCACTATTTTGCAACAAGATTTAATTTCTAGGTTCTTCTCTGACCGCTGACGTACACTCGAGTTTCTTTGAAATCAATCAGCTTGATTCAAGCCCACTGGCCAAGATAACCGAAACAACTAACAACAACACATTTAAAGAATGTCTAGTGAAGATGGTCACTCTACATCCTCAGAAGCTCCGACAGGTATGTTTAAAATGCCTGTAGATCAGTTGTTCATATCAAACCAACCAAAATTCCACCTTCCATTTTGATCTAGTGTCCTTCTTAGTTAGCTTCAAGGGAGTGGCTCATGAATTCACAGATGTACCTGGAAACGTAACCATTCAAGAGCTGAAGGCCGACCTACAAGAAATCTTTAACATTCCGGCTCAAAACCAGAAGCTGCTTTTCAAATCTCAATTGAAGGATAATGCCACCTTGTTAGAATCAAAGTTAGAAAGAAATAGCAAGATAATACTGATGGGAACAACTAATGCTGTCGTTGAAGCTGTCACCGTCGAGGCTGAACGCGTCAAACAAGTTTTAGCTGCACGAACTGCACAAAGGTTGGTCGAGATTTGCGCTCGTGCTACTTAGATCCCTGTGATGCAACTTCATACGATATCGCAGTGATACTCCGTCGCTGACTGCTAGTTTATGATAGGAAGCAAGCTTCAAGGCTCAAACCATCCCAGCCTGTTCGAACTGTTGCCGATGGCAAATATACCTTCCACAATATCGAAGTGCTACCAGAATTCTCTGATACTGATGCAGCTCGTAAATATCTAAATCGACTGAAAGATGATGTTGGTATTCGTGGACTCATGCAAAAGGTAAGTTTTGCCAAATTCGTTGTCAAAAAGAGTCGACCTGCCAACTCAATTCGCCCATGCAGTACAAATGGTCCGTCGGAACCTTGAAAGAGCTTCACCCGCTTCGTGATCATACCATATTGGGCTACAACGAGAACAAAGGTTTGAGCATTGCTCTTCGCCTACGCACAGACCGTCTAGACGGATTTCGACTCTACGATTCTGTAAGAAAGACACTGCTGCATGAATTGGCTCATATGGTACACAGGTATATCCCACATTGCGCAATTCGAACGAATCGATGCACTAAGAAACACCTAAAATATTGAAATCACTTTTGACTCTTTTCCGCCATAGCGAACACAACAACGACTTCCACTCATTGAATCGGCTACTCAACAAACAAGTAGTTGAGCTGGATTGGACAGCAAAGGGCCACGTAATTGGTGGAAGCGATGTATACAATCCAGAAGAGTCAGAAGCTGTTGACGAAAAAGCTTTTGAAGGTGGTGTATTTGTTTTAGGAGGATCCAAAAAGGACGAGAACCGACCTATGCGAGAAGTACTTGCTGAGGCCGCACTGTTACGACTGACAAAGGAAGAACAAGATATGGTTGATTCCTGTGGTTCACATCCATCATCGCATCAGCACTAGTGCCTAGAGTTCTTGGATGAATGCTGAATTTGTTATATAGTAAGTTATGTTTGCTAAATATAGATTTAAACCCTCATTACCTCTGCTTTTGAGCTTTGTATGGTGAATTTGTTACAAGTTGTCCGGCCTCTCCAATTTTGCTGATGGTCGGGGCTTTTACCGTGTCTACTTCTTGGATTCATGATATTTACCGCTCTCCGGGTACTTCGCTGGTAAAGTGACGTCGGTGATACGTTGAGGGTCGTGGGAACATATCATGCTGCGCAATTAGGGTTGTCAAGTTGCTGCAAAGTCTTGATTCGAGCTGGCACGCTTTTGAAAATGTCCTATTCGATGACCCCTGCTTCGCACAACGTGATCCGTCGCAGCTTGTGGAGGTTTCTTGGTCCTGTCGGAGCTCACGACTGAAAATTTTACAAAAGAAACTCAACTTTAAATAAACTCTAATCTCCGGGCAACAAGCAACGATTTTATCGGAATCATGACGAAAGAGTGAGTATGAGATGCTGCTGTAGTTTTTAGCTTTTATCACGCTTTTTGTTGTCACCTCATAAACTCTAAGAAGTTTCGCGTCGTTGTCGAAAAGCATTTGCCGTGCTTCGCATTATCAGTCAATGACCTCTAACATTTCCACCCTCCACTAGAGTCAAGCCAGAAAGGCGTTTCACAATCCCCATATGGGCTTTGTTGCTAAGTGAAACAATCCTGGTCGCCGGGACATTGTGTCTCATTATCGGACTTCTCTTCTCCAATGCAACCACTACGTCTTTAAACACTTTTGGAACAAGTTTGAGAAATGCCTTGATTAACAATACTATGGGAAATGTCACCGCGTCTTTGGTTCAAATGGAGGATGCCTTGTTCACAATCACAGAGAATCCGCTGATGATGACTTTTGCCAGTCTTGATCCAGCTGTTGCTACCAGCGGTATCTCATCAGGTATGTTTCTTAATCTCACCCATGTTTTCCCATCAATCGTGAGGTTTCACTGTTGCCACGAAGTATCACACGTTACTGACATGTCGTTTCTCCTTCCTAGTCAATGTCAGTGGCAACACAGCTGCATTATCGCTGCTGCCATTAGCTGGTGCTGCATGCAAGCATCTTCCAGCTTGTGAAGGAGCAGGATTTGGTCTTGGCGATAACCTCATGATGGCTTACTCACAAACCGGCAAAGCATGGACAGTACAAGATGCAACGACTGGAGCCGGACCAACCCAAACGAATGCAGTATATACCGACGCAGTTAATCCTGCTACTTATCAGGCTGTTTTGGTATGTTGACAAGAACATATGTGTTTTGACTGCAATTTTGCTTACATTCTCTGGATGCATTCGTTTTTAGACTCCTGCTAATTTCTTGTTGACAGTTGCATTCACGTCCAACACTTCCGTATCTATTGGATCCACCGGTTGGAAGCCCGCAACCGTACTGACCCCACAGTGGAGCGCTGATGCCCGTTCCGTCGTGCCAATAGCCGGAACTTCAAACTTTTTGCTTTACAGTGAGTTGACTCTGTTTTGCTCTTTTTGAACTGTCTCGGGTTACATGTTAATCTTTCTACATCTTCCGTAAGTGTCATACTTCCGTATGTTCTATCAAGGATTGCCAATCGACACTGGAAATCCTGCCCAACACTTCACCGCATGTGCATGGATTGCCTTTTCCATCTCTGCTCTCGAAAATGCACTATCTGAGTTTGCTGTGACTCCGAATGGCCTCATTTATATCGTTACTACCTCTGGCCTAATGGTCTCGTCATCCGTGAAGAATGTTTCACAAATCAACTATGGTCCTACTTCGTACAATGCAGCGAATTCTCCCAATACTTACATTAAAGTATGAGCTACTGTATTGGAATGAGGAGCTTTCAAAATAGTGGTAAACGCTAACACTTTGTATCGTAGGAATCCAATCTATACCTCAACTCACAATATGGCTCTTTGTCAAACATTCCAGCTACGGGATTGTCTCTCTCTTTCTCTTCAACAACCGGCGAAGCTCTTCTTTGTGATGTACAGTGGTTGAATCGAACCAACTTGAACTGGATTGTCATCACCGTCATTCCTCGAAGTGATATTTGGGGCCTAGTTGATGCCAATTCTCGTAACATTGTGATCTCTACTACCATTGTCGGTGTGCTTGGTGGCCTCATCAGTGCTGCTATGGCACTTGTCTTGACTCGACCTATACGTCTTCTCCAAACTCAAATGGTCAAGGCTCGTGAATTCGATTTCAGTGGATTGAAATCTGGATACCTTGATTCTCGATCCATCTTTACGGAAATCAACTCGATGCAAACAACCTTTGTGCAAATGTTGCAAAAGTTTGCCAACGGAATTAAGCAAAACAAGGATCTCTATACTGCTACAGTTCGCCAATCTATGATTCGTAGCAGTGGTGGTGGTCAAGCGGATGCAACCGGAGCTTCAGGTGGTGCCGGCCGAACCTCCCTTGACATTGGTTCAAAAATCTCCGAAGAAGAGTGAAATCTCGGGTCAAGAATGATCTCAAAAAACGTGTGATGTGTGTGATTGCTTTTGTCTAATGTGAATGCTGTGTACAGAATAAATAAATTGTTGTTTAGCCTTCAAGCTGTGTGCATGGTCCGATTTCGGCCACTTCGCATTACCGAATGCAGGAAGCTGCGCGGTTGCTCAGTATCATGAGGTTTGCTCGGGTTTTTTTGGATTGGCTCCGAAGAAACCAAATAAACTTCCTCGAATCAGTCCCTGTTTTGATCCTGACTTGCCGTGATTTTGCAACACAATTTAAAACGTGACAGTGAAGTAAGCTTAAATTCTCAAATCGAATACGTGTCTAAACTAAACTTTTGTGGTGTAGGCGCTGAAAGAAGCTGTTTGGAGAAAAGCTGAACCATGGCGGACAAGTGAGTTCACGATTCCTAGCGCAACGATCTTAATGGTTTTACGTCACTCACAAATCAGGCGGAGTCATTAATATTATTTGTTTCTTGATTTTGTCAGGAATATAAAAGAGCGACTATTCACGATTCCGATCTGGGCTTTATTGCTCAGTGAAACAATTCTGGTCGCTGGAAGTTTATGTCTCATTATTGGTTTACTATTTACTTTTGCCACCGCGACATCGTTGACCACCTTCGGAACAAGTTTACGAAACGCATTGATTAATCAGACTATCGGAAATGTTACTGCTTCCTTGGTTTTAATGGAGGACGCGCTGCTCGCTATGACCGAAAATCCATTGATGATGGCGTTTGCCAGTTTGGATCCAATCGTAGCTACCAACGGCGGTATCTCATCAAGTATGTTCTCGTTCTCAAGTACTTTTTTCGATTGAACGGGGTGTGTTGTTTGATATTCACATTCGTTTTCATTCTCAATATTAGTCAATGCCACCACCAGTTCAATTGCACTATCCACACTTTCACTCGCCAGCGCTGCTTGTATGCACATCTCAGCTTGTGAAGGAGCTGGCATGGGTCTTGGTGATAATATGATGATCGCCTACTCTCATTCTGGAAATGCTTTTAGCGTTCAAGACGCCAGTACTGGATCAGGAACATCTCAAACGTCTGCAATTTATAACTATGCGGTCAATCCTGTTACGTATCAGGCTGCCTTGGTATGTTTTCTTCTTTTAGATGGTTTTTGTTGGATCCGTTTTCGGTGGTATTGCGGATGATATTAGGATACACCGAACCTCATCGCCATTGTTTTTAACATTTCACACCATTGCAGAATTCCACAACATTTTCGCTATCGCTAGCCTACAATTTTAATGCGTCTGTCTGGCTTGCCACTACCGGATGGACTCCATCAACTACCTTAACTCCAATGTGGGGAGGAAATGCGCGTTCAGTAGTCCCGAAAAGTGGAACGCCGAACTATTTGATTTACAGTGAGTTGGCTCTCAAATGACAATTTGTTTTTTACGAATTCGTGATTCAACACATGCTCAAGCTGCGTTTTCTCATCAGTGTCATACTTCCGATTGTTTTATGCAAACATGGCCATCGACACGGGAAACCCAGCCCAACACTTTTCAACTCTTTCTTGGATTGCCTTTTCCATCACTGCCCTTGAAGATGCGTTGTCTGAATTCTCCGTTACGCCGAATGGCATGGTGTATATTGTAACCCCCACTGGCCTCATGGTCTCGTCATCGGTAAAGAATGTTTCTCAAGTCAACTACGGTCCTACGTCGTATAACGCAGCCCAGTCTCCCAACACTTACATTCGGGTATGAACTACTGCCTCGCAACAATTCTTCGAAGCCTTGGTAAAAGCTAACACTCCGATTCGTAGGAATCGAATCTATACCTAAATTCGCAATACGGCTCCTTGACGAACATCCCGGCTGCAGGATTGTCTCTTTCTTTCTCTTCAACGACTGGCGAAGCTCTTCTTTGTGATGTGAAATGGCTCAATCGAACCAACCTTCAATGGATTGTCGTCACCGTTATTCCTCGAAGTGATATTTGGGGTCTTGTCGATGCCAATTCTCGCAACATTGTGATTTCGACGGTTATAGTAGGAGTGCTTGGTGGCCTTATCAGTGTCACTATGGCATTCGTACTGACTCGACCTATTCGCCAACTTCAAATCCAAATGTGTAAGGCCCGGGAATTCGATTTCAGTGGTTTGAAAACTGGGTACCTTGATTCAAGATCTATTTTCACCGAGGTATTAATGAAAGTTGCTTTGTGACAGATGGAAGGAATTCTAACATCTCCCTATTTTCTTCGTTGAAAATCTAGATCAATTCTATGCAATCGACATTTGTACAAATGTTGCAAAAGTTCGCCAACGGAATTAAGCAAAACAAGGACCTCTTGCAATCTGCTACAGTTCGACCATCAATGATTCGAAGCTCTAATGGTGCTGGCACTGCTAGTGAGAATGAAACCGCAGACCGTGCCATGAGCCGTACCTCCAAGATAGCTGAAGAGCAAGAGCTCGAATGAAGCAATTAGTGCAATGTCTGACTTCCGAAAAAAAATTCCTCTTCGAATTGTACGAAAATGTACATATCTGTGACAAACTTTCCAAAAATATGATTATAGCCTGTGTTTTCGAACCTGTGTGTTTGTTTTTAAATGAGCGTGCCTCTCCGCTGGCAAGTCAGAAACGTAAAATCATCGTAATCTCCCAACTTCTTACCCAAAATGGCAAATCGTGAATTTACCTCGTGTTTTCAAGTCTGTGAGGTTGGGCTTTCGTTTTATTATTTATGCTGGACGGGCGCCTCCCTCCGTGCTGTCGGAATAGAGCCTCAATCGATCGTCTTTCTAATCGTACAAGATTTCCGACTAGAATCGTATCCTGTTGTATGCAAGGGTTGATTGGTGTGATTGGACGGAAAGCAACCAAAACTCCATTCGACCCCTATGCACATGAGCATGATGCTCACAATTTCGGAAATTGTCACTTGGTCAATGACAGCAAAGTACGTGTTCGAGTGTTTTCAAGCATAGGGGCTTCGAGACAATCTGTACCGTGCGAAAAAATGGAGGAAAAGTAGGATTGCGTTACCTCCATTGGAATTTATTAAAGCCTATCTATCTATCACGCACTGACATTTTAGATCACATCTCGGCTAGGATAAGCAAAGAAAAACGCTTCACAATCCCGATATGGGCCTTATTACTAAGTGAAACGATCTTCGTTGCCGGGGGTTTATGTCTCATCATTGGTCTACTTTTCACATATGCCACCACGACATCATTGACGACATTTGGAACGAGTTTAAGAAATACATTGATTAATCAAACCATTGGGAATGTTACAGCTTCGCTAGTCCAAATGGAAGATGCGCTGTTTACAATGACAGAAAATGCATTGATGATGACATTTGCCAGTCTGGATCCATCTGTTGCTACCAATGGTGGCATTTCATCAGGCATGTCTCTCTTTAAGAGTACATTCAATAGTGGCTTATGTTGCTCACTCTAACTTTCATCCCGTTTTAATATAGTCGTCGCCAGTAGTAATACAGCTGCCCAATCGATTTTATCTTTAGCCGGCTCAGCTTGCAGACACATTCAGGCTTGTGAGGGAGCAGGAATGGGCCTTGGTGATAATATGATGATGGCGTATTCCCACTCTGGAAATGCGTTTACCATTCAAGACGTCAGTACTGGCTCAGGGTCGTCACAAACCACTGCCGCTTACTCTTACTCGGTAGACTCTGGCACTTATCGTGCCGTTCTGGTATGTGGCCCCCTTACGTACATTGGGCTTAACACTACTTATCGTTGTTCAATGAATGTTCTTTGCAGAATTCCTCGACGTTTCTGACTTCAATTCCATGGAATTACAATGCCTCCACATGGCTAGCCACAGCGGGATGGACTGCCAGAACCACGTCAACCCCAATGTGGGGAGCGGATGCGAGATCTGTCGTCCCAGTTACGGGAACCTCATACTTTTTAATCTACCGTACGTACTAAGTACACCTTGGCATTTGCTGTTATTTACAGGACTCGTTTCTTCCATGTTTTTTCAGTGTCGTATTTCAGAGTGTTTTACCCAAATATGGCGATTGACACTGGAAATCCTGCTCAACATTTTTCGACGATGGCTTGGATTGGACTTTCTTTATCGTCACTTGAAGGTGCATTGTCCGAATTCTCTGTCACTCCTAATGGCATGGTGTATATCGTCACCCCCACTGGCCTGATGGTATCGTCGTCAATCAAGAATGTTTCTCAAATCAACTATGGTCCGACCTCATATAAAGCAGCTGACTCTCCGAACTCCTATATTCGGGTATGAGCAGAGTGAACGCTACCGCACTCAACTTACTATTTGCCGTAGGGGATGTAGAAGCTAATTTTACTTTTTGTAGGAATCGAATCTATATCTGACCTCGCAGTTTGGCTCTTTATCAAATATCCCAGCATCTGGCTTATCCACTACCTTCTCATCATCAACCGGAGAATCCCTACTGTGTGATGTTGAATGGCTGAATAGAACCAATCTTCAATGGATTGTCATTACCGTTATTCCTCGAAGTGATATTTGGGGCCCAGTTGATGCCAATTCTCGTGACGTTGTAATTTCGACAATTGTAGTAGGCATATTTGGTGGCCTTATCTCTGTCGCAATGGCACTCGCTTTGACACAACCTATTCGTCTCCTCCAAATCCAAATGGTCAAGGCTCGTGAATTTGATTTCAGTGGGTTGAAATCTGGATACCTTGAATCTCGATCTATCTTTACTGAGGTACCTATAAAACGAAATTTTTATAGAAATCAAGATGACTTCTAACACGAATTACTGTCAAAAATCAGATAAACAGTATGCAGACCACATTTGTACAAATGCTACAAAAGTTTGCCAACGGAATTAAGCAAAACAAGGAGCTTCTGCACGGAAATATTCGCTCCACGGTCGCTACCTCAGTCGCTCGACCGAGCGCTAATGCTGGACATTCAGAGAATCGTACAACTTCAGAAATTCGCAAATCCGTTACAAGAAATTGATTTCGAATTAGAAGGGTCCTTATTTTATCTAATATCAAGACAGATCAAACAAAATAATGCCCTTTGCATCGTTTTCTTGTGAGTTTGACCTTCATGGTGTTTGTCGAGGTTGTTGCAGTTAGTCGTCGGGAGAGACCAGTTCTCCCAAACGAATTTGATGACGATCATGTATGTTTTCTCTCTGATCTACTGCCCTACAAAAACGGCGTGTTTTCGTCAAGGGTTCATTCCAACTGGACGGAGCTTTACTTTTTGGATGTCATATTGGATGTGAGAAAGGTGTTTCTCCCACAAAGCATATCGCCTTCATTTGTACCTGTAGACACCCTGACATGTGCAGTTGTCGAAGTTTAAGTTCGGAATTTTTGTATACGTGTTGTGCTGAATGTTGCTACAATCAACACTCCAACTCTTGGTCTAAAGCAAACCAGTGGATAGGTTCGAGAAATGTGTCCTTTTCTGCACGATTCATAAGAATTCATATGGTTGCCGATATCAAAACTAACAAAATCCATGATTGTTCAGGGCACGGAACGAACGACGTTTCACCTTTCCGATATGGGCTGTATTGCTCAGTGTGACGATTCTAGTTGCAGTCAGTTTTTGTCTTATCATTGGGTTGCTCTTTTCTATTGCCTCCACGACGTCACTGACTTCGTTTGAAGCAAGTTTACGGAATGTGCTGATTGATCGAACCATTGGGAATGTTCCTGCCTCTTTCGTTTTGATGGAGGATGCCTTTTTGCAATGGCTGAAACACCACCAATGATGGCGTTTGCCAGTATAAAGCTATCTGTTGCTACAAATGGTGGCATCTCGTCGCGTATGTTGTTTTGTTGACCTCTTGTGTTAACTAGGCTATGTTGTTTACTCTGGAGGTTCGAATTGGTCAGTGTTAGCATCAGTCTAGCTGCTTTATCTACACTGTCACTGGTCAGCGCTGGATGTAGACATGTCCCTGCTTGCGAAGGATCAGGGATGACACTTGTTGATGATTGTCAATGGCATACTCGCACTCGATGAATTTCTTTTCTATCCAAGACGCAAGGACAAGATCGGGATCATCACAAACAGCGGAATTATACCTGTATTCAGTGGATCCAACCACACCTAGTGCGTCTTTTGAACGTCTAATCATCCTTCTTCACATTTTATACTGCCATGTGTGTTTATCCTAGAACTCCAGCACGAATCTCGGCACATTGCCGTATGCTCTTAATGCAACTTAATGGCTTCACGCAGTAGGGGCCAGTACCATAGCTCCAATGTGGTCCGGAGGTTTTAGAACACCGGTTACACGACATGAAACCCCAAACTGATTAATTTACTGTAATCCTATGCCATCCCATCCTTTGTGCCTGTCTTTATGTACTTCCTCTGGTCCTTCAATTATTTGTTTAGAGCCATTCTTCCGAGTCTTTTACGCAAACATGGCCATCGATACAGGAAATCCTGCCCAATATTTCTCCTCAGTTGACTGGATAGCATTTTCTATACCTGCTCTTGAAGACACCTTGTCTACATTCTCTGTATTCGCTCGATGGAATTGTATAAATTCTTGCGCCCTCCTCTGGTAAAGAGCGTTTCGCCAATTAACTATGGCCCGATTTCGTACCTCGCATCCCAGTCTCCATATAGCTACATTCGTGTACGTCTCGTTTCTACTCGAGCCTCGAAATTCGGAAATCAATTCTATGCAAAAGACGTCTGTCGACATGCTGGAGAAGTTTGCGGATGGGATCAATCAGAACAAGGAACTGATGGCTGGAAATGCACATTTCTCTGGTAGCTATTGGGCTGCTTCTCACGCGGCTTTCACATTAGATGGAGGGTTGAGCATAGCAATACCAACAATAAAATCGAGGGCTGAGCGTACTGCCAATAGATCGAGGGTTGAGCTTAGGAATGCCAATAGAGCGAGGTTTGAGCATGGGACTGCCAGTAGAACGAGGGTTGAGCATCGGTCACCCAATAGAGCGGGGGTTAAGCATAGCGTTACCAGGGATTCGTCACCACCATTCAAATTCAGAATAGTGTAGAATTTCAACCCCTTCTTATCGAAACAAAGACTGCGAGGACTGAGACTTCTTTCGAATGGTGTGTGTATGTTGTTGTTGTTTATATTATGCAAAGTGCACCCAAATTTGGATGGCAAAAACACGTATATGTAAAGAGGCGAATGAATAGAGTAGCTTAAAGCTGCTGTTATAGCTCTCCACATTCAGCAATAGTAACAGCCAACTTGGGGCGATTATTTACCCCTGTGGGCACGTTTTCCATTTTTCGTAAAGTCAGCAAACCATCCACGAGTCGCCCAAATACGACATGTTTGCCATCCAAGAAATCTGTCTTTGCACAAGTAATAAAGAATTGCGAGCCGTTTGTGTTTGCACCACTGTTTGCCATTGATAGTAGGCCTGGACCACTGTGTTTTAGAGTAAAGTTTTCATCTTCGAATTTTTCTCCGTATATGCTCATTGCTCCAGTTCCATCGCCCTATTGACAGGGAGGCTGGTGAGTACGTGTCGTATGAGGGGTTCTGCAAACACTCGCACCTTTAGAAAGTCGCCACCCTGAACCATGAAATCCTTGATGATACGATGAAATTGAGCGTTTTTGTAGCCTTGTGGTTTACCAGCGACTCTATGTGCAAGAATGTTGTGAGAATCCAAACAATACCACTAGAATCAGAAAAACAATCAGTCTTGGAACGCCAGTAACAACGCATACTTGTGTTCTCCAGTACAGAATTGCCTAAAGTTTTCAGCAGTTTTGGGCACGACATCAGCAAACAATTCCATCTTTAATCTTCCAGCTGTGAGTTGATGTATTGTGAGTCTGAGAATTTGCAAGGTTGATCCACAGCAAAGGAGGACCAGATGCATCAGTATTGAATGATGAGGAGCTTACCAGGCTGTCCCCCTATTGATATATCGAACTATGGGGTTGAAAATAGGGAGATTGTTAGTTCGCAGCAGGAATATTCAGACAGAAAACTGCAAGCAATATAGAATAATACGCACGAATACAACGGGATTGGCAGCAGGCAGATTCGACAAGGCTCCTTTTGATCCCATTGTGGTGTAATGTTCATGAAGCTTGATCTAGTATTTTTCTCTACGAAACGTATTTGAAGCCATTTGCTCCCTAGCATAGACCATCACATTTGTAGCAAAGAGCATTTATTTGGTGACTAGGCTCGATACGATCAGCGTGAAAATCAAAAAAAAACACGTACGAAAACAGAGAGTCACCGCAAGACCAAACCTTGTTTCTAGCAATCAACTATATCGTTGCCACATACCCCGGTCACGCGTTTCAAGAGTGGGTCGCATTGTAAATTCACGATCAAAGTCGTTCTACTACATTTTCTTCCTCCTCTTAGTAGATAGACACGTTTCGGTCAACCTCTCCAAACATCGTGTCAATCGAGTGATTACCACAACTTATAGAGCTATATCTGCCTGACTGGCGACACAAGCTATTCAGAGAACTATTAAAAGAGCCTCATGTTCGAAGGTATCCTTAGTCTCCGAATCCTTCTAATCTGTTTGCTTCAAAGGGCTAACAATCTCACATCAACGTGTTCGACTTTTAGGCATCATAGCTCAGGTGCTTAACAAGTTCCTGGGCGATTATGTTGCTAATCTTGAAACTAAACAGCTCTCCATTGGAATATGGAAGGGTATGTAGTAGATTTGACACTATCTTGCTTGCAATCTTCCAACATTAAGCACAAGCAGTTCTAAGTGCAAGGAGCTTGACGAGAAACACCAAAGCTTGAATCTAAACTCATTTTATTATCTATTTTACTCATTACCTTGGTTTAATTCTAGGCGATGTCGTGCTGCACAATCTCAGACTGAAGAAGGAAGCACTCGACAAGTTCAATCTGCCCGTCGAGATCCAAGAAGGTGCCTTACTACTACTCCACCACTTTCACCACCATCATCTTGATCTTGTTTGTTTTCAACCATTCTCACGCTACTCACCGTTAGGAAACCTCGGTGAACTTATCTTACAAATACCTTGGAATGATCTCAAAAACACTCCTGTCCGTGTCCTTGTAAACAACCTCTACATCCTCGCTCGTCCTCGTGGCGAATCAGATTATGATCCAGATGAAGAAGAAGAACGATTGCAAGCTGTCAAAAAGGAAAAGATTGAAGCTATCAATATCCTCAGTCAGTCAAAGAATATCGAGCCAGGTACCGTTTATATGATTACGCGCATTTAGGCATCAGGGACACAGTCTACCGAATTCTGTCTAGTTCTAATCAACTTCGTGTTTCTTCTTTGCTTTCTTTAGAGAATGAAAAGCAACGAGACTCCTTTATAAACTCACTCGTCACCAAAATCGTAAATAATCTGCAAATATCAATCAAAAACATTCATTTTAGATATGAAGATAAGATTACAAATCCACAGGTAGGACAACAAAAGTGATTGTGATGAAGGCCAAAAAAAGGCTTAAAATTTTTGAATCATCAATTTGGCACTGCGCTCACTCTCAACTCACATTAATAGTACCCATTTGCATTGGGCTTGACTATTGGTGAACTATCAGCTGTATCAACTGACGACAAGTTCAATGAAAACTTCATCCAAGAAAACACGAGCGACACAGGCTACAAACTATGTCGTCTCGAAAGTCTAGCTGTATATTGGGACACTAGAGCAGAATTATTTGGTGATACCACTAGTGGATCTACCACCACTACCAAAGACGGTGGCACCACAACACAACCCTTATCATACTTCCAATCTGGAATCGCAAACAAGGCTAGAATACCCGATCATCAATATATCCTCAAACCTGTCTCTGGATTGGGTAAAATTACGCTGAATAGGAGCTACTCGGCTGAAGTTGCCAAGACTAGTGTCGTGCTTCAGTTTGATGAGTTTGCTTTTATGGTTGATGATGAACAGTATAAGGAAATGTTTTCATTGTTGGGGTCTTTCTCGTTTATGTGGAGACGTGAACAGGTATTAGCGCAGAAGTCTGAATAGCAGCCCATCATCGACTTGTTGAAATTTCCTGTTGCTTGTTTTTGCCTTTAGTCAACCTTACCCAAATTGCGCACTCGTTAGTACCGGAAATATCGACCACCACGTACAATCACACCATTGCTAGATCCAAAAGCATGGTTCAAATATGCTGGTACTTGTATCCTGTCTGAGATACATGAAAGGAACAGAAAATGGTCTTGGGATTACTTTGCTGAACGTCGTGATGATCGATTGACGTATATCAAGTTGCATAAAGCTCAAACATTAGGTCTTGCTACCCCAGAGGTATTGCTCGATGACAATTGAGACCTTTTTTGCTTCCTGTTTGGGTTAACCCAAATTTTTAACAGCAAATATCGGCTTTGAATGAACTTGAACGTAAATTGCCATTTGAAGACATTCGATTTTATCGATCTATTGCAGGGACACAGCTTAGGAAGGAAAAGAGTAAGTCTTTCAGACGTTCGTTTTTAATGCCCAAACAAGGGATACAGGTCATCCCACCACACGAATCGCAATCAACTCACACGTCCTCTGTATAATTTAGTTGCCAAACCTCCTGAACCTGCACAACAATCGACTGTTGGGTGGATTGCGTCTTGGTGGTATACCAATCCAACTGACACATCAGCGCCAGCTACGAAAGATAGTAGTATCACAGCACCAGACGAACCAGGTTTACCAGGAGCACCATCAACTGGTCCGCTGTTAGACGATGCGCAAGTCAAAGAGTTGTTCGAGACCATTGAGTTCGACCCACAAGCTGCTCTCCTCGCTTCCGAAATACCACCTGCTACCGTCCTTGTTTCAATTCAATGTGAATTGAATATGGGATCCGTAGCATTACGAAAATCACCACACGAATCTAACGGTGGAGCTGACTTGCTGAGTGTAGCATTCGAAAAGTGTACAGCAGGTGTGAACCAACGACCTACTTCACTCTCTGCCAAACTCACTGTTGGTGGGATGAAGGTATTGGATGGTGCAACGAGTGGAACTCTGTATCCAATAGTAGTACAAGCTAAACCTGCCAAAGATCAAAATCAACGTGAGGGAGTCCTGCCGCTGTCATTATCAAAAGCACCATTCTTTGATATGGAATTGGATCATAATCCACTTGATGGTCATGCTGATGATGCCGTATCAATCAAGATGTTGCCACTGGAAGTAATTTATAATCCGATAGTGATTGCATCTGTGATTACATTCATGACGCCACCTGCATCCGAGTATGCAACAGTGTCGACTCTACAAGCTGCTGCTAAAGAGTCTTTCAAAGGCTTTACTGCTCAGACCCGAGCTTCGTTGGAACATGCTTTGGAACATCATAGGACTTTAGATTTGAAGGTTGATATTGATGCTCCTATATTTGTCTTTCCTGAAAGGTATGGTCGGTGGTGCTTCAGCGTTTTCTTGTCACAATAGTCTTTGGTTTCTGGTCTGTTCTGATCGTTATTCTGTCTTAGCTGCACTGACCAAGGAACAGTCATGCTTGTTGATGCAGGTCATTTGTTGATTGAGAGTAAATTAGTGGATAAGAAAACCATGACAGATTTAGAATCCAAACCTACTTTATCAGAGACCGAATTGTCAACTTTGAAGTCTATGATGTATGACAAGTTTACTTGTAACTTGTCATCTGTGCAGGTATGTGACGTTTAGAAACGGCAATCTGTCGAGTTTCGGTAGTTGGCAAAAACCCTGACCAGAGTACCATCGGGGAAACCTCTCAACGCGAGCCTTATGTTCAGTTGATGCTGATTTGTTCTTGTTCTTTAAATGCAGGCTCTCATTGGACCATCACTTGGTGATTGCTTGGAAGCACTAGCTCGACCAGCAGGAGATATGCATATAATCGAACAGGTTAACATGCATTTCTCGATTGAAATATCCATTCTGCCTAAGATCACCGAAGCAACACGTACTCGCATCATGGGTAGATTAGAACGTCTCCATCTCAATCTCTCAGATCGTAAATACAAGTCATTGATGAAGATTATTGAATTGATTACTGGTCCAACGTCAAATCAATCATTGCCCAAGCCTCAAACGCACGACGATGCTACTCCTAGGCAATCTACTGTGGCCAACAACACCAATTGGAGGTTCTTGTCGAATAGTAATGCCAGTAGACAGGATTTAGTTGTCGAGTACGATTCAGATGATGATGCATTTTATGATGCACCTGAAGCTGGACCTAGTGTCATGGCAACTGGTGGCCGAAAAGGATCGACTGCAACATTGGATGCAGATCGAGTACTTATGGAATTTACATTTGATGTTGGTCAAGTATCTGCTTCACTCAAAAAAGCAGATCGAAATATGAAGATGAAGGAAGCCGTCCTCGCTCATCTGATAATATCAGATTTTGGACTGACGGTTCAACAACGACAAGTGGATATGACTGTTGATGTCCGTATTCGGGACGTACAAATAGAAGACCGAATGCAGGACGCAGGTGCAGAATTCAAGTATTTATTAGCTGCGTCTTCGCATAGTAAACCCAACAACAGCACCACGAACTTAAGTAGTAGTACTGGTAATTTATCTGCATCATCGGATCCAAGGGCATCACATTTGATTGTCATCAAATATGAACGAATTGATCCAACCTCACAACATTATAAGAGCATTGATCAAGCTGTAGATGTGTACATATCAGGAGTTGATTTGATTCTGACACGAGCTAGTGTTTTGAATCTGTATGATTTTATATTAATTACTTTTACGGCCTCTGGACAACCACCAGCCAACAACAAGTCCAGGAATTCTTCTATGCAATCTCTTGCTGGAGAAAAGAGTCGATTGGCCGCTGCTATGCCATCTTCCATGAAGGATGCTCCTAGTGCCGAGGCTGTTGCAAAACCTGCAGAAGCATCACCAACAGATAGTGGGATTGTTGAAGTGCCTATACCCCATCAACCCGCAGATTCGCCCTCTGTTACGCAGATCGACGAACATGAAGGCGATAGTCATGAAACAGGTGGCAATAATGAAACAGGGGGTAATGATGAAGCTGAAGAAGCAAGTGTAACATCTTCGCCCCCGCCAGTAACAGGAACGATGCTAGTCCGTGTAGATATTGCATCTGTAGCCGTAGTTATAAATCATGATGGTGTACGAATTGCTACTGCCCGACTAGGACAAGAGCATGTCACTGTGCTTCTCAAACCACAAACGATGGAAGTATCAGCAAGAATTGGAGACTTATCTATCGTAGATGACGTCCCACGAGTAGAAGAAGATGCAAGATTATTCAAACAATTCCTTTGTATTGATGGAGATCAAGTAGCTGACTTTACCTTCTCGACCTTCAGTCCCTCTGAGCCGAATTATCCGGGTCATGATTCAGAAATTAAGCTCAAGGCTAGCAGTATCAAAATAACGTATGTAGAACCACTTATCGTATCCCTCATTACGTACTTTTCGGAATTCCAACGGATGCATATCTTGCTGGAGTCTGCTCGTCGTGCTGCTTATGAATCTGCTCAGCAAATCCAAGAGTCTGCTGGCCGATTCCATTTCGATATTGATGTACAAACTCCAATATTAGAGTTTCCTAAATTGTCACTTAAGTCGCAGGACTTGCTGACGCTATACTTAGGACGAATATCTGCTTCCAACTCGTTTAAGAGTGATAATAGCGATTACGTTAATCAGGCAGGTGCCGATAATGGAGACGTGATAACCGCTGAAGTGCAAGACTTGCGAGCCACCAGTACCTTCCATTATGGACCACGTAATATCGAACATGCCCTACAATTACTTGATAACGTAAACGTCAAGATATCGGTAGATCGTATTGGACCAGCAAGCTCTGAGAACGCTATAGTGCCAGAGACTGTTATACGAGCATTATTACCTGAAGTAAAGATCAAAATGACGGAAATGCAATACCAATTTGTGTTAGAATTGTTGACTTCTATTGGACGTTTGACTGCTGGTAATGGTACCGCTGCCAACTCTGAAACTGGTGAAGCTGTTAGTGACGATGGAGTCCATGTACGAGATCCGACCATGCCGCCCTCATATAAAGATGCTATTGAAGGTGCTGATGGTAATCGAACAGCCATGGATATATCCTTAGAGCTACCATCTCTGGGACTTGAAATGTATAGTGGTGATGGTTATGGATGTCGTCTTGAAGATGTCTCGTTAGCACGATGTGCTATAACTTCCACGACATTTAAGGCTGCATTCCGTAAAAACAACAGCTCTGACATGGAAGTTGTTGTACATTCCATTAGTATTCTAGATACCAGACCACAGGATAAGAATTTGTTTAGAGATGTTATATCTTCTGTCAGACATGATGGCCATCAATTTGCTTTGCACTTGACAAAATCTGTCATTGGTGCGAGTAATATGATTGTGACTGTTGATAGTCCGAAAATCACGTTGGTTTTGGATCACCTCTTTGCTATGCGTGATTTCTTTACTGCTCCTATGGGTGTTGTTGCTGGCGCAGCTGCCAAGAGGGATGACAAGGGTGTAGCAGTGACCACGTCAACAACCAATAATCAACAACAACCATCATCGTCACCGCAGTCAGCATATAGCGCAGAGCCCGAACAACCGGGATCATTCTCATATCGAGTAGATCTAGTTGACGTAGAAATCGTCTTGCTTGAGGATCCAGCACGAAAAGACACGGAAGCTATAATACTCAAATCTCAACAATTAGCAGTAGCACACGATCACATCACAGAAGCCTCAATCCATCACATGGGAATGTTTTTCTGTGCCATGGATAAACGAGATGAAACTACACTACGATTTATTCAAAACTTTGATTTCACGTTTGCTGCTGATAGCCGAGTTACTGGACCTGGTCATTTCATGTCAGATTTGCAAATCGATGTTGGGCCGCTCATGCTGCGTGTCTCGTATCGAGATATACGGCTTATTCTGGATATTGTGAATCAGGTTTCGGATTTGAGTCGACGTAGTAGTGAGTCTCGAAGTGCACATGCTGGTGCTGGTAGTATACAGCCTGCTCCATCGTCTTCGTCGACTGGTTTGCCTACGTCGAATTCTTCTAGTGCCGCTAGCAGTAGTGGTGTTGCAATACCTTCATCATCGACTACTGTAGTATCACGAGTTGGAAGTAATACCTCTTTGAGTACTATGGGATCTGGAGCACCAGATTCAATGTCTGGTAGTGGGATTATTATGTCAAGAGAGAGAGTAGGCTGACTCCTGTAATTGAGTCAAGTGTTTGCGATTATTACTGACTGTTTTCTCGCTAGGCACGACTTGTAACTGAGGGAGTACGCCTAGTCTTGATTGATGATTTGAATGATTTACATTTACCAATGGCTGATTTGGTCTTCAATAAAATTGCTGGGCGTGTTGGAGATTGGTCTTCTGGAGTGAGCAACACAGGCACTTACATATTCATGATGGTTAAGTACTAACATGTTGAGTTTTAGATGACGGTAAACGCTCAAGTCTCTCTTCATATGAATTATTTCAACTTGCATAATTCACACTGGGAGCCTGTTATTGAGCCTTGGAGCTTTGATGTGAATGTGAGTGAAAAGGCACAAAAATTCAAAACAAGGATCACAAGACTCTAATTTGAATGCATAGATCCAAAACCGCCCTGCAGCTGACCAAGGAACTCTTCTTGATATATACGCTCGCAAAAAGCTTGAAATGAATGTTACATTTGTCTTATTACAGACAATTGTCAACACTCAGAATCTATGGAACAAGCAGACTGCGGTTAGTTTGCCGTCGATGGATACTGCTGGTTTCGGGTGTAAACTGACTGTTTTGGTTGTATTTAGAGAAAGACTCGACGTGGAACACACACACCATACGTCTTGCGAAATCGAACTGGTTATCGTATGCACTTATGGGTTGATTCATCTGGTGATGGTCTTGATGTTGAGCCTAAGGAACTCAAGAATAATGATGATATGCCTTGGAGGTTTGATGATTGGCGTGCTATGCGAGAGGTACGTTACGCCAATCAAATAAAATTTCTCTTGTTTTTGGCTGATCAGCATCTTCTACATATATTTTAGAGTACCGCAACAACTCCAAACAAGATTTCATTGCAACTTCACGGTCCAGCATGGGAATCTCTAAAAGGAATCTCAGTTGATCGTGAAGGAATCACTACACATCTCCTCCGACCACGAATCAATTCAGTCTTGCATCGAATGGTGTGTGAAGTGAAATTGAAGGATAACATCAAGATTGTCACATTCCGCTCTGCTACTGTTTTGGTTAATGGAACTGGTGGCACTGTTGATATGATGGTGGTTAATGGGAAGGGAGAGATGACGAGTGGTGTCTACCGAATTGGTAGGGTTTTCGGCTTTACTAATTATTTTTTCTCGTTGAGACTCACAAGTTTTGATGTTCTTAGCTCCTGGAGAAGAATGCCCTATACCCATTGAGGCTGCTTATTATGACAAGATTTTGGTTAAGCCTCATGGTATGTTTTGCTCAGGGAAAAGACATGGATTTTTAACTGTCAAGTCATTCACTCACTGATCTTCTTTCCATAACTCGCAGATAAACAGGGCTACAAATGGAGCTCTGAAGTTCTTGATTGGAAGGAACTTCAACGAACAAGGATGTACCCACTCGTATCATGTCATCCTATCGACTCTTCCAAACCTCCATTCCGCTTCCAAGTCAACTCAACCTATCCCGACGAGGCTGTCCGTAGTAGTTATCCGAACTTGACCATCAAACTTTTACCACCATTTCAACTTGAGAATCTGTTGCCACATGATATTCGATACATCGTGTTTGACAAGACTGCTAAACTCGAGTATCGGCAAACTCTCAAGAAAGGAGCTGTTGATCCTGTGCATACTTTGGATCCCACGCATTTGCTGGCTTTGAATATCGAAATCCCTGGAACTGGTATGTTGCTGTTGGTTTGTTGGTAGCAAATAATCGAAAATAGACTTAATTTTTTTTTTGCTAGACTACCTTACTAGTGAAGTAGCAATAATCAGCAACACGGAACTCGATTACCGTGACGAATCCATCTCATTACGAGATCGAGAAGGTCGACAATTGCTTTTACGAGTAAAGTATTCTGACAATTTGAGATATGGTGGTCGGAAAGTCAGCTTGTATAGTCCATACTTGTTGGTCAACAAGACAGGCATGGATATGGCTTTCCAAGCGCGCACGTTGCTTGCCGGCACTAGGTTTGCTGCTGGTCAAGGTAAGAGATTGCCTAAAAAGCAACTTTAAATCTATTGAGAACTGATTTTTTTGCCTCTGCTCACGTTAGGCTCACAATCCGCCAAGCGACCGAAGACGCAACCTGAAGCTTTCATGTTCTCGTACTCAAACTTTGAGCCTATTACTAGTCGGGCTCAAATCAAGGCTGGTGATTCTGAGTGGAGCAAGGTGCAAAAACGTTGAACATCCATTTCCTTCTTGAGTTGTCGCTGATGCCATTTGTATTGTAGCCGCTGAGTTTTGAAGCAGTTGGAAGCTCGTATGCAGTCACTATTGCGTCAGCTACAAACAAGAACTCAGAAACGCATATTGGTGTTCATATTAAAGAGGGTGAAGGAAAAGTAAGTTCTACATTCTGTAGTTGATGAGATCGGATATTTTGCCGACTCTTTTCTCTTCATTTTAGTACTATCTCACCAAAGTGGTTACCTTCACACCACGCTTTGTTGTCAAAAATAACATGTCAGATGACGTTCATTGTCGACAGCAAGGCGTTAATCAACCCACTATTGCCGTCAAATCTGGTGATGTCGTACCACTTGCCAATCTTTTGAAAGCTACTACTGAAGGTCAACAGCAATTATGTATTCGATTGACTGGTTTGACGAATGAATGGTCTTCACCATTCAACATTGATCAAATTGGTCGAGTTTGGGTTAAGCTTGGCCGAATGGGCTCTTCTGAAGAAGATCTAGTCAGAGCTGAAATCATGTTGGATGGTCCTACAGTCTTTATTCAGTTAACTCGTGAAGAAGGGCGATGGCCGTTTAGGATTGTTAACGATTCGGATGTTGATGTTGTCATTGGACAGAATGCAAGTCTATTCGGCTATCATCTCCATGTGTTTTTTTTTATCTAACTTCTGATACCTTTTTGGTAGAATTCCAAGAATCGTTACAGAATACCAAAAGGTCAATCACGCCCATACGCTTGGGATCAACCAGCAGCTTCACACAAGGCTCTTATCTTGCATGTCAACGGCCGAGAACGTGGTATTGATGTCATGGAAATTGGTCAACTTGTGCCATTCAAATATCCAGTTGATGCGCTTGGACGAACCAATGCTATTATGGCGATTCAAGTCGTGCTTGAAGGACCATGTATCGTCATAAATCTCAAGCCGTATGTTGAAGCTCAGAGTATCTTCCGTCAACGTGGTAATACTGGTAAAGATGCTAGTGGACCAGGATTTGAAGTGGTAAGTGTGTATTACGTTCGTTCAGTTTCGATACCGTTCTCACATATTTTGAATCGCTTCCCAATATGCTCTTGTAGAAGGATAAGGATGCCGACATCCTCTTTACCTTCATCTTGCGAATTGAGGGTATTGGATTGTCTTTGATCAACCGAAACATGATGGAGATTTTGTATGCCACAGCTCGCGGCGTTACTCTTCGGTACACTGATACTAGTACAAATCAAGCCATCAACTTTGACGTTCGATGGTTGCAGGTATGCTTTGTCATAAAGACAGATGTTCGAGAAGAGCTCTTGTCTTATATTTTGCCTCTAGGTCGACAATCAACTATATGGCGGCATTGAACCTATCGTGTTATATCCAACTATCATCAAAAAGGAAGGCGAGACTGGTGTCCACCCTGTCTTCATGGTTATCATCTCAAAGTTAAAGGATTCCTGTGAGTCGTGATTGTTTGTAGTTTTAGCATGATCATACATTGAAATTGGTTCTCTTTTCTAGCATATGGTGTAGAATACTACAATTTCTTCACTTTACTGCTACAAGAATTCTCCATTGATTTGGACGAAGACTTCTTGTTTGCACTGTTGGACTTTTCCAAGTTTAGTAACGTCGGCATAGAAGAAAAAGAGACGTGAGTTTGAGACGAAAGAAGCTTCGCTGTACTTGTTTGCATTCTGACAATTTGTCTCGGCTCGTAGTGAATTATACGATGCAAATATGACAACTCCAACTCCTCGAAGCAGTGATTTCCAAACACCGCTATACTTTGAAAAGTTCTTGCTGCAGCCTGTCAGGTTCAATCTATCGTTTTCTAGAACGGAAAGGATTAATCAGGAGGAGTCAAAGTATGTATTTGACATCGGCACTTTGCTTGGCTAGTTCTAACTTCGTAAGTTGTTCTTAGCACACGTTCTTCGACAAACCCAATTAGTTTCGTGGTTGATGTGTTTACCATGACTATTGGAAACATTCATGTAAGTGGATTTGACGTGACTACCTGCATTGAGGTCGTTGGCTGACTCATGGTTTTTCAAGGACGCTCCTATTGCATGCAACGCTCTCGAATTGCAACATCCCGTCGAAACCATGCCCATGTTGATTGATCTTGTTATAAGATTCTATTCTCAAGAGATTCTTGGACAGGTAGAGCAAATCATTATCGAGGGTTTATTATTCAATCATTTCTTACTCCCTTTCATTTTCAAAGATTCATAAAATGATTGGATCTGCTGACTTCTTGGGAAACCCAGTTGGCCTCTTTGACAATATTACATCTGGAGTCCGTGATTTCTTTTATGAGCCATTTGAAGGATTTGAGATTACACGTCCAGAAGCGTTTGGTATTGGTCTCGTGAAGGTGAGCTAACAGCACAAAAGATTCGAAGAAAGTTGTGAGGGACTGACTGTTGAGTTTCTAGGGCACGTCAAGCTTCTTGAAAAAAACTGTATATGGTGTTTCAGATACTTTTGCGAGCTTCACTGGTAGCGTTGCTAAAGGGTTGTCTGTCATAACTTTGGATAAAGAGGTGGGGGTAATCATAGGGCTTTAAGTTTTTAGCCCTTGATCTAATTCGTTCAACCACATTTCACAGTATCAAGAAAAACGACGTTTCAACAGTGCAAGAAACAAGCCACGACATGTGGGCAGTGGTGTCAACTATGGAGCTCAATCTTTCGCTGATAGTGTTGCTAGTGGTTTTGCTGGGATTGTTGTGAGTCTCATCTTTTGTCTCTACTGTTTTTGTTTCTCTTTCATGGTTGATGGAACTAATCCATTGGATGCAACCTCTAGTCCAAACCAATGGAAGGAGCTGAAAAGGACGGTGTTGGAGGGTTCTTTAAAGGTCTTGCAATGGGCGTTGTTGGGTAAGTCAATCTTGTGAAGTTTGAAATTGAATCACCTCTAATTAACAAAATCAACGATTCTGAACTACATTATTCATTTCTTTCTTCAGAGTTGTTACCAAACCTGTGGTTGGAGTCTTTGATCTTGCCTCCAATGTTGGAGCTGGTGTTCGTAATACCACAGTTTGGGAGACTGATATAGATAAGCAGCGACTTCCTCGATTCATTGGACGAGATAAGATCCTCAAGGTTTGTTGAAACTTGGAATGAAGCTGTTTTCTGATTTGCTGACTTCTGTCTTGATAGCCCTACAATGCTATGGAAGCTCTTGGACAAAGTTGGCTCAAGCAAGTAGAGAAAGGCCATTACTTCCACGAAGATTATGTTGGACATCTTGGTATGTAATTTGGACGCAAGAGCAGCATGTTTTCGAGTTAGTTCTAGACTGTTAACTGTTTCATACCTTCAAACTTAGAATTACGTATTGAGGATTTAGTTGCTATCGTGACAGCCAACAGAATCCTTATGATTCGTGTCAAGCGTCTGAAAGTAGATTGGGACGTGCCTTTTGAAGGTAATTCGTCACTCCTGTTTCAACAATCCTCTTTTCGTTGGCTCACCATTTTTGTTTTTAGATTTACAGCTCATTCGATCCGAAAATGCTGGAATATCACTCGTCATACACAAACAGCAAGCCAAAGTCCGTATTATACCTTGTCCTGATTTGAACTCTGCACAGGTATGATCCTTTTCCGTTAATGGGTTGTTATTTCGATATCATTGGTCAGACACTTATGTTGACTATATTTTTCCTCCGGGTTTAGTTCCTCTGTAGTAAGATTGAAGAGGCATTCTCACAATATATGTCCGAGAGGCGACCTACCGAGTAGAGTGATAAGGAAACAACCCAACCTTTTTGTATATACTTCTGACGCTCAATGTAAAGCTTATTGAAATGCTAGAAAAATACGCTCAAATGTTGTGCTCTGACGATTTTTGTAGACTGCATGAGATTGGGAACTTCACTCACATATTATTTTTGTTTCAAACCGTTATGGTTGTTCCTCACAACATTTGTTTGGCTTTATGCGATGTCCTGATTTCTAACAGTCTAGACGTAAAGAAAAGCCTGATCAACCCACACTGGACCTACCATCGCGGTGTTTCTATTCCGTCATGGTGTACCGTATTTGGAAATAGTCTGTCGAGAACAATTGGATGTGCCTCCGGTTTCAAGGTATCAAAGTATGATGTAGAGAAACAACCGAACACATTTGGTATGCTGTGACACTCCATACAATGGATTGCAGAATGATAAAGTACAAGTTTGCAGAAGTTTCCTTTTTTGCGCTCACATCGTAGGAATAGTCGTTGTAACAGCGCTACATTGTTTGACGATGAGAGATCAACGTTGTTCTTGAGTGATAAGATGCAAATACGAAATGTTTTTGTGTATAAAAATACTTTTTTAGAGGTTGACCACAGCAACAGAACCCAACTGTCGTTTAAGATCTTCACGATCCACATCATGTGCTGAAAAGCGACATAGCAAATGGAGAATGAGCGTCAGAGTGAATCGGCGTGATGACTGTGCTCAACGAAATAACAGGGAATAAGCCTCGTCTTTCCTTGCTTCAAATCTTACCATCTTCAACTTCACCCCATCTAGATATCTGATGCAGTACTTCCAAACGTGCAGCAGTTTCTGCTTCTTGCACAGATAATCGTCTCTTCAGTAATGCCAATCCGATAACAAATGATTTTGTTGCCATGACTGCCTTTTCGAATGCTAAAAAAAGGAGCAACCCATAGCTATTAGTGCTTAATAGCCATGAAAACTGATAGCCCAACATCAAGAACGAGAGAAGGACCAATATATCATCTTTTTATCTTCATTTTTTCGGTCTAGTCTCTTACCTGCAAGTTCAATCAAATCCAAATCCGCAATAACTTTTTCCAGTGCTTGAATCACACTGGCATCTTGTTTGAACGCCATTATTCCGTCTGTAGTTTTCAATTCAATGCCGTATTCTTGTTTCAGCCATTGTATTATTGGAACCCAGTTTTCGTTTTGCAGTTGAACGATTGTTTCTGGTTCTGCTTGATGGTAGCTGTCAGGGTGAGAGATATCAGTTGAGAAAGGGGAGAGCAACGGCAACAATCAGAGACGGAAGGAGACAGTCGATTCACGTTGATCGAAGCGCCGCCTTTTTTACATTTTCTTACCAGATTGTATCCGTATGTATGTATCTGAGCAATTGGTCCAGGACACCTTTTTTGATTTCCGCGTCAGACAGAGAATCGATAGCTCTAGTCAGTATTGATGTCTAAGAATGGTGGTGAGTAACGGTTGTCAATACATGGTCATGGCAACCCAGCAACACTACTCGAATCTACGAACATCCTCACCAGTGGCAGAGCATGAGCTTTCAGCACTCTATCCTGCGACTCCCATTCAGCAGCCACCAGATAAGCAAGCGCTTTCCTGTGTTTTGGAATCAGGACTAGTTTCGAGTCTGGAGTTTTAAGTGTTCGTCCATCCAGTTTGATCACAAATCCCTCTGGTGAAAGAACGACAATGAATACAACGAGAATGAAGTGCAAATTAACAAATTGAGCTCTCTGTTCACCCTATACCTGGTAGTTCGTCGACCGTGACATTCTTCCAAAATCGTTTTAATCCTCCAGTGCCGACAGAGGACGAGAAAGCATCTCGATCGGATCTCTTTGTGGATGGTTTTGGAGGAGTGTTGGTACTAGATGAGGTCTATAGAATTAACATGTCAGCTTCTTGCGTCCAAAAACGAAACAGCAGCTTTCAGCTTACAGGTGCAGTTGAATAGGACAATATGTGTCTGTTAACCGTAATGGCGATACGCGCATGCGTAGTGGTAGATCGTGCCAGCACACGCGAACATGATAGAAGCGACCGTTGCATCCTGCTATTATCTGTCTGAAAGTTGTAATTGTTTTGAAAACTGAATCGGAACAAGGAGCCTGAATTTATCAAACTAAGGCGACGCGCGCGGATACGCGACATCTGACATCTGAAATTTTGCTGCTGTCCTGCTATGTTCTTGCTGTACAAAGTATACTCTGGCTGTTGATCAAGTTCGAACGTCTATTTCGATCTGATCTTTCTAATAGACTTACGCGAGAAATGAAGCTCCAGAGTACAAAGCTTACTCTTCACCATCGACTCGTCCCTGATGCGTCAGGAACGTCATTGGCCCTTCCACCAGAACCACGATTTACCAGCAATGTCAACAGTTTCTTGATCTCCGTGGCCTCCTTCTGCTCTTTCTGCTGTTGCTTCCTCATGATCTCTAGATGCTGAGCAAGATTTCCCTCAAGCACCTGATCCAACTTGCTTAACTTTTCCGACAGAAGAACGATTCGACCGTCTAATTGCGACACTTGTCCAACTTTTTCGCTAATGGCTTCCAGATTGGTTCATCATTCAACACTCGATTCGTCGGCATCTCGTAATAGACGTGTTTTGGGAAGAGTGTTGGATTGTTTTTCAATGTTGGTACAAGTGGCAGCAACTAAAAAAACCCGTGGAAAGAGAATTCAAGTTTTCAAAGAAAATGGTAATTAGGGTAATAAAGCTTCTTTTTCTCACAATGGTTTCCATCTCCAGGCACGCTAGGCAATTTCATCAATGAGTATGTAGGAATCACCCATGGCTTGCAAGTTAGAAAATGAGGTATTGAGAACGGCAATCACGACACTACATTCAAAGAAACGAAGCGTAAGCGGAGAACTGAAGACAACTTTTGCACGTAGAAAAAACTTACTTGAGTATGATTACAGTCATAATCGTCTGAGACACGACATGGAGCGTCGTTGCAAAAGCAATCAATGTTGTGGTCTTGCAAGGCAGCCATATCTTCAAACGTAGCATAGAAGATGGATCTGCAGGATTGTGCAATGAATGTGACTTTGAGTCTCGGTACAATGCGGTTCTCCTGTTTTGTTGCCTTGACGAAGTATCATAGAATGCAAACTGGCTTTTATCGTTCCCACTATCATCCAATACAGAGTCCGATTGTAATAGCACGTAAAATGCATTGGTAAATGTCAGAATCGTGACGAGTATCAGAAGCTGTTGGGAGAATGTTGAGATTTGTGAGGTTGACAAAGAAACAAAACTGGAAGAATTGAATGGTATTCTTACAATCAAAAAAGATATCTGGGCCATCAATCTAAAAGTTGACGACACAATACTCCCCAGAAACGGCATGAGTCTAGTATACGCAATAACCTTCAAATACCAAAGCAGTACAACGATGGTCCAACGCCCCAAGGCCCATCCTTGTGCACTTCAATCCCTGGATATCTCAGTACAGGACTTTATAAATCCAAGCACAGAAGCAATGAAATCAATCATCCAAAAGACTCTGGAGGCACATGTGGACAGTCCCAGTCGAAACATTAGAATAATCCCATACGCCAGATTAGGGATCACGATGACAAGGAAACAGGCCAGAAACTGATTCGACGGATTTGATGGTTCTGTGTGAGCCACGCAGAGCAGTATCGTTCCCACCAAATCAAAGCCAAAATGAATTAAATAACAGATGCAGGTCTATGTTTGATGTGTTGCGATGTGAATTAGCAGGCTGTATAGCTTAACATCAAGCAACGAAAACACAGCTGAAAACGAACGATAATATATTTGAATGCTCACCAGCTACGTGTCCATTCAATATACTGGTCTTTACCATCCAATTTACCAATCCTTCCAGCTCAGGACGAACTGTTTCGACAACTTAGACATCTTCATTTTCCTAGTTATACAGCGTATCCGTACACCCGTTCCAGTTTATTTCACCTCCACTCACCTGCTCGCTCCTACTCGATGTTTTGCAAAAACCTGCCAAAGACAGATCTTAGCTCAACTGCTTGATTTAAATCCATACGAACGGATAGAGTGCCCCGAGTCCACGTGATTTACGCATTTTCTTCCTACATCCAAGTCAGCAATGTCAATGAAGAATCAAGTCCTCGCTGTCTATAAAAGCCTGCTCAAAGCTCAACGGAGTGCATTCAATGGAGACATAAAGGGACTAATAGGTAACCGCAATTTACAGATATTCATGCATCGTTAAGGCTCTACGTACATTCACTCCTTCTCAACACTAACACATTCCTATTTACATCACCCACATCACCATCACAGCTGCGAAACATTACACCAGACAAAAATTCATGGAGCACAAGCACGAGGCAAACACGACAACTTTGGAATCTCTGATAAACACTGCCCGTCAGGCTGAACTGATTGTGAGACAGAATGTCGTCCAGGGTGTCAAAAAGGACAAGGAAGATGTTTTTGGTAAGTGCTGGCTAGTGGCGGTGTTATTGGAATGGATTCGTGTATATGTAGTGTGGGAAGAAGATGCTGCGCCATTGTGCTGATACGGTGTGAACTTATGATGCTGCTGGTGTGCTTCATTGATGGCCCCCGTTTTCTTTTCGGTCTTTCGCTACCAACTACGCGCACAAACCCAACACTCACTGACTCTTTCACTCTCCATAGTACTCAAAATACGAGATGAAACACACAGAGGTGACAACTTGGACGTGAAGAAGAATAAAGGGAAACTCATACCGAAGAATCAAGACTGCTCAACATGCTAGCTTGTACACATATACACGAGCAGCTTCTGCAATATCTTTTTGACTTGCTTGCCTTCCAAGTTCTATCTGTTTGTCATGCCTCCTTTGAAACTGCTCTTGAAATCACAGTCATATATGTAAAAATATTTCACAAACATAAACCACGCACAATAAAGACAAACATCCTTCTCCTCCTCAATATACCTCCATAAAGGATACCTTGTTTTGAGTTCAATGTGAGAGTGGTGCCCTAATTTGAGAATAGAGAGCGAGAGAAAGAAAAACCTAGACAAGAGAATATGCTACAAATGCTGTAGCTCCGTTCATTTCCAACCATCTCCACCGTCCAACGGACAGTTGCATTCGTCATTTGCTCAGTTCATTTGCTACCATCACCACCGTCCAATGGACAGACGGGTGCATTTTTGGAAAGCAGGTTGTGTCATTGATGGAGAGTCTCGTGATGGTCCATCACCAGGAGTCACATCAGTCTTAACAGATGCATCTCCTTTAGGACTCTTGCTATTATGGAAATCTCCTGCAGATGTGTTGGCAGAATCGGTGTCACTAGTCTCTTCCCGTTTATAAGTGCCTGATGCTGCTGCTGATTGTTGTTGGGTATGACAGGTAAACTATCTCGTATGATTGCACTGCGACTGGCACTATTGCGAGCAAGAGGACTTTGTTGTACTTGATCGGTCTCTGATGGTTGTACGCGAGCAAATGGTCTGACAATGAAAGAACTAAGACTCAGAAAACGACAGAAAGAGACCGTATCAATCGCATTCCGCGATACGTGACTTACAGAAATCTGTCGATTCAGCTGATCATTGGTACCACCAAGCTGCCGACCATTTGTGTTGCGGTGTGGAGGTAGTAGAAGCGAGAGAGTGGTAGGCCTTGGACCTGTTCAACGGTGGTGCTCAGAGTTTGTAATCGTTCAACGAGAATATGATTGTCGGTACGACGACTGATGTTTTCGTCATCGAGTCTTTTCTTTTCAGCTTCCGCTTGAGCAGCGTTATTACGTTCTTGACCTTGGCTTTCTATATCTCGATTACTCTGAATGCTGTTTTCAACAAGCACATCGCGAGCATTAGGGATAAATTTACGCTGATCCTCACTCTGAGCTAGAGCGATATGAGGTTTTCAACTCGTGATCGCTCAGCACTCAGTTGTTCATTTTCTGTAGATATGGATGTAGGGCTTTCACGGATGAGGCGGTTATAGGTATTTCAGCGTGCTTCTCGGCATCCATGCGTGCTTGACGTTCGTCTTCTAGTTCAGTATCACGGAGCCGACGTTGGCATTGGTAGTCTTCTACTTGTTGGTTTAATCGAGATCGGTCATAGTACGAGCCTCGTTTTCCGGGCGAGTCAATCGAAGCTTTACATCCTGAAGCTCTTCAGTAGCAGCCATTTCACGACCAGCAGCTTTACTAGCTTCCTTTTGCTGCCTGTGGGGTTCCTGATGAGCTGCCCCACATTCATGGTCAGCAGTAGCGAGAGATGTACGGAGAGGGTCTTCCTGTCCAGAAGCAGCAGTAGTAGATACAGCAGCTATTTGCCTTCGTAATTTAGCTACTTCACTTTTGATATTATTGATTGAATGTTTGGCAGACATCAAGCCTTGACCTTCAGCTTGCTTGGATAAAGCGAGTTCATCCTTCGTCCTATCACGCTGGTTTCGTACATCTGCCATTATCTAGTGCTTCAAGCTGTTGTCTTGACTTGTTGTTTCCTTCGTCTTGGAAGTTCCAAACCTATGTTTGATGTTTGTGTTGTGAAGGTGAACGAGTACACGACGCGACGGACTTGAATTAGCACATACAATAACAAAATATTCAGTTCATTATTTAATCAATACTCACTGTGCACCGCGTACCTGCTTCAAAGTAAACTCATAGACATCGCAAACGACCTATTCTTTTTCAAGTATGGACGGAATGTTTCAATAGATTTTACGTGATCTTCAGTATCCAAGTCATATGGCGCTTATAAATATTCCTTCCAATTCATAGCTCCTTCGTTGATCATGATTGCGTGTGATTGTGATGTTTTGCAAACTAGTGCAATGACAGCTGAATGGAGCGGTCAAAAGGAGCCCTGGATTATACATCGCCGTTTTCACGGTCTTAAGACCTCTCTAGTACTTGCAATGCCAATGAAACATCAACTCCGCTGCATCTCTCCAATATGTCTTGCTTGTTGCCGACAAGAGTGCTGCCTGTACAATGACTATAACTCGTTCCCTTTTCTTTATGCTATCTATACATTTTGTATGATCTTCACGCAAACACTCAATACCATCATATACTTATATTCTTCTTTCTAATCATCATTCATTGTGCTTTTGTCACGCTCTCGCCCTATTTTGGGTAGAGAGGGCAAAAACAATCAGTGAACCCTGCACAATCACTTCAGCTGCCTCAATTCTTACCAATCTGGATGATGGATGGAGCTTAGAAAGCCATTCCAGTCAATAAACCTGGGTTCGTCGCCTTGAAGCGGCTGACCAACCCTGCAGTTTCAATGGTTACAGTGTGCGTGAGCCAGTGTGGGTCCATTTTTGCGAAGTTTGCTTTTGTTTTGCCACGCTTACCTTGGATCATTCCTGGTAGTGACTACACATTGAGCGTCATCAATGGAATCGACAATACTTCCTCTACCAAAGTCCTTTTAAGTAGAGAGAAAACACATGAACAAAGGAGCAGCAAAACAACCGCCGAAACAGTTTCCCGTAACAGCCTTCAATCAGCTGCATCACGCCCCAAACAATCAAGACAACAGTAGGTAAAACTCACTGCAACAAGTCGCCTGGCAAAGCGAGTTCGGAAACTTTGTTTGCCTACACTCTCGGCTTCAAATTCTGGAGACAAGAAGAATCGAGTATCGGCAAATGGGAAGGGATTTGCTACTCGAACTCCGTAATCACTTTCAGGCAACCATCGGCCGCTGTTGTGAGATACGTATGTGGTTATTCCAACGATCGCTTGAGAGCGGAAGTTCACAAAGCAAAAAGGCAGAGGCAACATCTGGCTGATGCACTCACGCTCGATGTGAATTTTGTACCCAATTGCAATCAAAGATCAGCCACTTTCCCATCATTGCAGCACAGAATGTCTTGAAAGTCTTGCCTGTTCCACCAATCTGTCAATAAGACGAAAAACAAGAGGTGATGAAATTCGGCAATTGGTTGAACAAGGAACCACACTTACAAGGATATGGGTAATGTCATGTGCGAAATCTTCAGGTCCGCCTTCTTGATAAATTGCTCCCAATCCTTTCATTTGTGCAACTAGCTGCTGAAAGAGTTTGAAGAAGAGAAGGTATCAGCACGACAAAAAAAATCCAAAATAACAATAGAGTGGGGGAAAACACTCACGCCTTTCAAAGTCACGGTATAGGTGCCACTGGACGCATTTGAGAAACCACTACATGCAATAACAAATTGCCCACCACCTTGCAGCGAACCCATGGATGGCTCAATTGTAAAAGTAGCATCACTGCCAGGCTGTTGTTGCTGCTGTTCTGGAGATTCTCGCGATGATGAAGCATGACTACCACCTTGCTGCTCTTGTTGTGATTGCATTTGTTGTATTTGTGACAATAGCTGCGACGGCGACAGTGCATTCATGGGTAGTGGTGATGCGGGAGCAGAGATGACATTATTTACAAGTGGAGATTGAGCTCTACTAGCAGGATTGGCGTCAGTCCGGACGGATGAATCTCGCCGAGAACGCTTGTTGTTGGCATCTCCGGTTTGAGAATGAGTCGAATCACTTGCAACAGGCTCTTTACGTTTATGATTGGATGCAGATGGTGCTGCTGATTGTTGTGGTTGTGACATGATGGGTGAATTTTCTTGCATCGTTGCGTTACCGCTACTGCGATGAGCGTGAGGATTGATGATATTCCTATTCTGTCCTGAAAGTTGTTGTTGTTGTGATACTGAACTACTAGCACCAGTACTAGCACCAATAGTGGCACCACCACGTCCATAGACCTCCTTAGCTGTCTGACGCTCTTCTTCCATAAACCTATATTGGTCTTGAGACTTTTGAAGATTTCGACGTTCAATTTCAAGATCCTTTTGACATTGTGCCAAGTCTTGTTCGAGTCTCAATACACTTGCTTCAGCCTGTTCTTGACCTGTTTCTGCAGCTCTTACTCGGGCCGTAAGAGACGTAGCCTGCATATCCAGTCTTCGATTCTCCCTCTGTACCTCCTGTAACTGTCGTCTAACTGCTTCAAGTTCGACTGATAACTGGTTGAGTCGAGTTTCGTAGGCCTAAGAAAGCGAAAAGGTAGCGATTGTTAGGCTCCAGCGAAAAATATGTATTGAAGTACTTGAAAAATTGACTGGACATACCGCCACCTGTTGAGTCAATCGAAGATTAGCATTAAAAATCTGCTCATTACTTGGATTTGCTTGTGAAGGTACAGGTGGAGTAGATGGCAGAGCTTTACGAGCCTCTTCAAGTTTTGTAGTAAGATTTCTTACTCGTTCATGTAGATTATGATTATCGGTACGAAGACCGGAGTTCTCTTTATCGAGGCGTTTCCTTTCGGCATCTGCCTTATTTATCTCCGCCTTCATATGCATGGCTGCGTCATCACGTTCTTGTCGGTCTTTGGCCCTCTCATCATCGAATTGGGTAGTAGCAACTTCCAATTCGGCCTTCAAGCCATCTACCTCAATTTGTAAGCGAGTATTCTCTTCGCCGAGCTCAGTAAAGTCAAGATGATGAGCTTTCCTCTGCTTTTCCCATCCACTTCGTTGTCGTTGCTCTTCAGCCT